CCGCTCCAGTCCGGGCGCTCACAGAGCCCACTCCAGAGCCGCTCCAGTCCGGGCGCTCACAGAGCAAACTCCAGAGCCCGCTCCAGTCCAGGCGCTCACAGAGTCCACTCCAGAGCCCATTCCAGTTCGGGAGCTCTCAGAGCTCATTAAGGAATTCACTCCAGTCTGGGAGCTCACAGGGACCGTTGCGGATCAATCGGCCTGTCCTGTTGCAGCCATCGAGGCTGGTACTAAACTCTCTCTACTCTTGTCGCTGAGAGGATTTTCTGTCCCACCATTGTTGCCTGGCAGGATTCCGGCTCTGCTCTGGTTGCCCGCCTGGGTTCCTGTTTGGCAGGAGCCTCACTGGCTCATTCCTCCGGCTCCATCCTGGCTATCTGCTGGGCTTCCTGTGTGGTTGGGGCCTTGCTGGTTCATCCTGCCGGTCCCGCCTTGGCCTTTCACCCTGCCGGTTCTGTGCTCATGCCCTGGTCTATCTCTGTCCCCTGGCCCCTTTCCATTGTATGGTCCTGGCCCGCCGTCCCTCCCCCTGAGCCGCCTCAATTCCACCTCCCTCCTGAACTTTTGTGTGTTCTGGTGGAGCGTCTGGTATCCACTCCATAGAGGGGGGTAATGTCACAGTGTCTGGTTGTGGTGCCTTGGACTGGCCACTTGAGGGCGCTCTTCCTGTTTCTGTGTTTCATGCTTTGAACTCCGTTTCCCATAGTCCTTTGCTTTGTCGTTTTGTTCTGATCGTTATCACCTGTTGGCAATTTACTCATCATTTCATCACTACTTATAGCATGCTCTCACTGTCTGTCTTTGCTGCAGTATTGTTTGAGTTACATCGTGTTTTCTGTTCCCTGTGTTTTGAATTTACCTTTTGCCTAGTTTTGGATTATTTGTTACTTTAATAAATTTACTGCACATGGATCTAATCTTGTTTTCTCCTGGCATTCCGTGACAATCAGTATTATGGAATGACATAAAGGCAAGTAAATGATGAACTAATCCCTTAATTCTACATAAATGAGAAAGGTGGAAGTTTTAATTTGCAATACACCAGGGCGATTTAACTGGAATTAATACATATCTGATACTCACAGGAACCATCTGATTATTATTATTTAGATGATACATATTCATGAGGCATTGACAAACACTGAGATGCTGACGAGTGAACGGACCGTGTCACTTCAGAGAGGGCTAGTTTCATTTCCGACCGTCCCCACACACTCTAATTCATTCTCACTATCTCAGTCCCTGTTTTCACCTCTGCCGTGCGTCATATCAGCCTACAGTCTCCTCTATCATTTGCAGGTTTTACTTTGTGTAAATCTGTTAAGAGAACCCACTTGTTTAATTAAAGGTTTGTGCCTGTCTCTAAGGACCGCGCTCCACTTTTGCAGCGTGACACGCACACACAAACCCACTCGCACGCATGTGATAAACCTGGCAAGCGGCATCGTAAGGATGAGATCAGTGGCGCTTTCGTGTGTTGCGTGATCAAAGTGTTTATTCTCTTTTCCTCCTCTCACTCTAAAAAAAGATGACTGTGCCTCCCTTATCTTTGGACGTCTGAACCTCGCACTTCATCAGCCTGGGCTCGCTAACTAACCAACCACTCGCACTTCCAAAAAACTCATTGTGAATGTTTGTGTGGAGGAAGTGCTAATACATGTCCTGATACTGCAGACAACAGCCACATACAGGTCGTGTTTTACACTTTGTCGCGATGCTGAATTAAGGAAAGTTGAAAAATACATTGGTATACAAAAATCTATAATAGACAAATAAGTCAAAAGTCTTCATATCTTTACTTCTTTTGTAATAAAAATAAATAAACTCAAACATACAATGGCAGTTATATGCTGTACATCTCTATGGTTTGTATTTGTAATTACAATTATGTTAATATGGTAACACTTTAGTATAGGGACCAATTCTCACTATTAACTAGTTGCTTATTAGCATGCCTATTACTAACATATTGGCTGTTTATTAGTACTTATAAAGCACATATTATGCATGACTATATTCTACATCCCTAATCCTACCCAATACCTAAACTTAACAACTACCTTATTAACTGTTAATAAGCAGCAAATTAGGAGTTACTGAGGCAAAAGTCGTAATTAATGGTTTACAAATAGAGAGAATTGGACCTTAACATTAAGTGTGACCATTAATATAATACTATTTGAATAATTTAAGACTTATTAGGCCCTTAATTGTAGAGAACCACTGGACTAGTGGATCCTTGTCATGTGACCATATGTATAGAAAAGGTCAAACAGCTGACTGCAATTGAAGATGTACAGTACATGTGAAAATTGACACACATTTTTAATGATAAAAACTACTATTATAAATATAA